AGTGATTTACAGGATTTTCAAATTTTAAACTATGGGAAGGATACAATAATGCATCCCAGTGATATTTCAGCAAAGCTAAAAGGTCAGGAAGTATGAAAAGATATATACACTGAATTGTAAAAGAAGACCTTCATGTGCAAAAAAAAATAACAATTTCTTACCTTAGAAAGGTCTGAAGCTTGAATAGCTCAATTCTATATCAAGAGACCAAAAGAGAAATGAACTTGCCTCTGCACCAGGACACATGCTTAACTTTGTCCCAAGCTATTGGAGCATAAAACCTCAGCAGGAGTCTGGCTAAATTGGGACTAATATTCCATAAGCCAAGGAAGGGTCCCTGGTTGTTGGAACTGGTCAGGAACCAGGTGGGAATGTCAAATAGGAGAGGCTAGACCTCCTCCTCCTGGAAGAGACCACTTCCTGTCTGGAGGTGACAAACATCTGAGCTGAGGCTCTTGAGGGAGTCAGAAAAGAGAGACTTTGGCCAATCCTAGGCTAAAGATCAAGTAGACTGAAAGATGAAAAAGGCACTATAGCAATTAACTAAAGAGGGTGCAGTGCCACCCAGACAAGTGAGTGGCTGCAGATGATAAAAGACTGATGCTGCCCAATGAAACGTGGTCCCAGGGAGAACAGCAGATTGACCCAGCCAGTGGAGATACTACTGCTTCCTGAGCAGAGCCTCGTGGTCACGTGACTTGCTTTCCATCTCAATAATAGATTGACTTGTCCACCTGAGACCCTCTGACCCCAAAAAGGAGCTGCTTAGCTGAGCAGCGGCTAGATCCTGATGCTACTCCCCACAGTCAACTTTAAGAAAATCCTCCAGAAAGGGAAAGTAAATTCCAAAGTCATGAGTTGAGTTGGCCACATGTATTCTATGTGTGTGTTCCTCACCATCCTTATTCTTTAAACTTGTGGCTACTCTTCTGCTCATGGATGCTATGTGCGTTTGTGAGACAGTGTCCCCCAGGTTTTGAGGGAAATGCTCTATAATTACTGTTCTTGCTATGCCTTTTGAGTAAATGTGTTTGCTAGATAACTGAGTCTACCAACCTTTTGCTAAGGAGGAATGCAGAGCTGGGGGCTTATGAGCTATATTAGGTCATTTACAGGGTTACCCCCTTGAACCTTGGGAAGAAAGGAAGGAATACGCTTTTATTAAGTGCCCACTATGTGCTAAGGGCTTTATAAATATTACCTTATTTGATCCTTACAACAACCCTGAGAAGTAGGTGCAATTATTATCTCCCATTTTATAGCTGAGGAAACTGAGGCAGACAATAGTTAAGCAATTTGCCCAGGATCATATAGCTAGTAAGTGTAAGGCCAGATTAAAATTTTTTTATCATTCTGTCCTGTCTGACTCTTCATGACCTCAGTTGGAGTTTTCTTAGCAAAGATTACTGGAGGGGTTTGCCATTTCCTTCTCCAGCTGATTTTACAGTTGAGAAACCTGAGGCAAACAGGGTTAAGTGATTTGCCCAGGGTCACACAGCTAGTAAGTGTCTGAGTCCACATTGAACTCAGATCTCCTTGATTCCAGGCCTGGAGCTCTATCCACTGCACCATCTAGATAACCTTTATAGGTTAGATTCAAATTCAGGTCTTCCTGATTTCAGACGCAGTGCTCTTTTCGCTGTACCACCTAGCTGCTCTCCTCCTTTGGGGGCCTAAGCTGCCAGTGCCAGTGTGGGTTGGGGGAGTGAGCCCAGGTGAGGTGTTAACACTTCTATGTCACTATAATCATCTCTCCTTTCATCTTTCCCAGTGTCTCAATCCTCCTAACTTATGCATCTTCACTTTGGCCTCCCATAACCAAATATTGCTGGGTTCTCTTCTTTCCTCAAACATCCTACTTTCCCCATCCCTTCCATCTTCCTACTCGCTTCTTTCTTTATTAAGAAAACAGATACTATACTTTTTGAGCATCCTTTCCTCCCCATCCTACATTTCAAAGCCCTTGAGCATCATCCCCCATCTCTCCTCTTTTGCTCCAATCTCTGACAAAAAAGTGGCCCTTTATACTTTCCTCTACTTGTACTCTTCATCCTCCCCTCTTGTATTCTCCCACAGTCTGTGCCTTTCTTTCTCTCATTTTGAGCATTTCTCCATCTATCAGGCCTTTTTTTTGACTGTTGCCTACAACTATACCTATTCTTAAAAACCGTTTTCTTCATCTTACCATGCCTTCAAGCTATCAACGTCCTATATCTCTGCTCCCTTTTATAGCCAAGCTCCTAAGAAAAAAAGCTGACCACACTCATTGCCTCCACTTTCTCTTTTTCCACTCACTTTTCAACTCTTCGAAACCCAGCTTCTGTCCTTACCACTACTTTACTGATGGTTTTTAAACTGCTAAACCTGATGGCTTTTTCTTATTCCTCATCCTTCTCAACCTCTCTGTAGTTTTTGATACTAGTAACCATTCTATTATGCTGAATGGGCAGCTAGGTGGCAAAGTGGGATAGAACTCTGGGCCTAGAGTCAGGAACACTCATCTTCATGAGTTCAAATCCAGCCTCAGATACTTCCTAGCTGTGTGACCCTGAGCAAGTCATTTTGCCCTGTTTGCCTCAGTTTACTCATCTGTAAAATGAGCTGGAGAAGAAAATGGCCAACCACTCTAGTATCTTTGCCAAGACAACCCCAAATGGGGTCATGAAGAATTGTACGTGACTCAGCAACAGTTATGCTGAATAAGCTTTCCTGGTTCTCCTCCCTCAACTGCATTTTCTCAATCTCCTTTTCTGGATCAACCATAGCCATCAACCCACCAGAGGGGGTATCCCAGGGCTCTATCTAGAGCTTCCCTTTTTTTTTTCTTGACAACCTGTCTTGGTGAATGATCAGCTCTCATGGATTCAGCTGTCATCTCTATGTAGATGAATGCCAGCTCTGTATATCTGGCCATAATGACTTCCCTGAGCTCTGGTCAGTATTACTGATTGCCTATTGGGTATCTTCAACTGGACATCCTCAAACCCATCGCATCCAAAATGGAGCTCATGATCCTTCCCTCCCCTCCACCCAAGCTACACCTCCTCCTCCAACATTCCCTATTTCTGTTGAGGGCATGATCATCCTTCCAGCTATCCAGCTTCCCAATCTTAGCACCAGCTTCCTTCTCCCTCACCTCCCACAGGCCTCACTTGCCAACTCGAGGACAAAATTCAAAATCCTCTGTTTGGCATTTAAAGGCTTTTATGAGCTGGTTCTAGCCTATTCCTTTCTAGGTTTACTGCATCATTCTTTTTCATACACACCATATTCCAGCCCAGACTGGCCTATTTGCTCTTCCCTGACCCCAGCATTCCTTCTCTCGCCTCCATTCTTATAGCACTTACAGCACATGGACAACAGTTCATGCTTTTAATATAGACCACGTCTCCCATGCCCAGAATGCTTTACCCCCTATCTCCTTATTCATATGCACTCAGAATTTCTGGCTTCCATTAAGATCAGTTCATGTGTTGGCTCCTAGGAGAAGCCTTTCCTGATTCCCCTAGCCTTCAGTGGACTCTCTGTCCTCACATAATAACGTATATATTTCCCTGGGTCCAGAGTATGTCTCTTCAAAGAGGCAGTTTGGTCTAGTTGAGAGAGAGCTTGGCTATGGGGCCCTGAGCCAGTCACCATCCTGCCAGGGTGACAGGCATTCCCTTTGCCAATGAAATCTCAGGTCTAGTCCCTATCCCCTCAGTGGAATGGGAGCCCCTTGGTTTTCAGCCTTGTATCTCCAGCACTTAGCCCAGAGAGCATAGGAGGCACTGGAAAAAGGCTTATTGGATTAGATGATTTTCTGTCTTCTGCCATCATGCTTACTTAGCACAGTGCTTTGTTTAAAGCAGATGCTAAATAAATATTTGTCCGTTCGATTTACTCAGGCCCATTCCCTGGGCCTTTTCATCTGTAAAATGAGGGGAGGAAGAAAGCTTGCTTCCTCATTGTGAGACGTGACAGGCCAGAAAATGTGTCTGCAAAGCACTTTTCTCCATCCAGGCTGCAGGGTTTTGTGGCTCCTCTGTTCACTCTGCAGAACGATTCCTTTATAACCTTTACCTGGAACAGGAGGCCTCCTCTCCTCAACCCACTCATGCTTTTCTCTAAATCAAGAATTATGAGGAAAATAAACAGAAGACACCTTGCAGCGGGAAAAGGAGAGCCCAGAAGGGGGCCTCCTTGCCTCGGCTGCTTGGAAGAGCAGGGAGGGATGCATGCCTGTGGGAGTGGGAGTGTGTGTGTGTGTGTGTGTGTGTGTGTGTGTGTGTGTGTGTGTGTGTGTGTGTGGGCGCGCGCTTTGTGAGTGTGTGTGGTGGGGGGGAGAGAAGAGGGGGAGAGACAGGGAGAGAGGGGGGGGAGAGAGAGAGCGTGCGTGGGAAGGAGCGGGAGGGGTGGCGCGCGCGTCTGTTTCCTCCCTTTCCTCGCTGACTCTGGTCGCTACGTGATTTCTTTGTCAATGAAGCGCCGCTTCTCAGCTGCAATAGCATCCCCAGCTCCAGAGCGTGAGCCGGGGAGCAAGACGGAGCCAGAGCCTGAGCCTGAGCCCGAGTGTGAGGCCGGAGGGGCGGAGAGGCAGCCCCGCCAACCCGAACGAGAACCCCCAACACAGCCTGCACTGGCCGCTAAGGGGGGCAGCTGGAGACCCGGTGGAGCGCCAGTCTGCCCTCCTCGCCCACTTCCCCAGTCTCGCCCGCTCCCTGGACACAGCCCCGTGGCGGCCACCCTCCCCGTGCCCGCTGTGAACTGGATCGCGGGGGCTGGCTGCGTGCGGAAGGAGGATCCGGAGGCGGCGGCAGCAGCGTGGGAACCCCGGCTCGCGGCAGGCGAGGACGCGGGTGCTGCTCGGGCGCCTGGATGCTGCTCGCGCCCCGGGCGCGCTGAAGCTTTGGGCGGCTCGAGCTCGGCGCAGCGTCCTCCCGCAGCAGCCACTCCAGCCTCGGGGCCATGGCCCGAGATGCCCCGTGAGCTGGCCGGCCCGGGGCGCGGACGTCGGGCTAAGAGACGAGGCTCTGCTGCCCCGGCGCTTCCAGGAGGACGAGGACCAGGAGGCGGCTGCGGCGGCTGCGGGCGGCATTGATGTGTGAGGTGTCCCCATGGCTCCCCAGGGCCAGAGGGGCGCGGGGCCGGGGGCTCACGGGGCCAAGCGGGCCTCAAGCAGCCCCGGGAGGGCTCCGGGCAGCCCGAGGCCGGCAGCCAGGGCTGCGCCTCCCACGCCTCAGCTGCCGCTGCCGCCGCCGCCGCCGCCGCCGCTGCTGCCGCCCCTGCTACTGCTGTTGCTGCTGCTGGCGCTGGCCGAGCGCGGCCGCGCTGCCAACTCCGGTAAGCACCTCGGGGCCTTGGTCCCGGCTCGCCCCAGGGCTGGCAGGGGCTAGAGGGAGGGAGGGATCTTTGCAGCCCTGGAGCTGAGGGCTTGCTTTGCTCTCCTCTTCGCTTTTGCCTGCAAATCTGCTGCAGGAACACGACTGTCGGCAATCTGCCTCCGGGAAGAAAAGAATGCTACACGTGTGTGTGTGTGTGTGTGTGTGTGTGTGTGTGTGTGTGTGTGCATGCATATGTGCGTGAGTGTATTGCATTCCTTTTGCTTTCCATGCAAGTTACTGTTTCCAGATGGTCGCCTCGCAGTTACATTTCACCCCCATGAAATAGTGTGTTGGTGAGACTAAAAGAGCCGTGCACAAAGAGTGGGGAATCCTGTTTCAGGGTAGGCAAAGAATCCAAGCTATGGTGCCCCCAACCCACCTTCCCCACTCACATTGGCTTCTTTCAGTCTGATTAATGCAAAGACCACACTGATTTCAGTTGAATTCCATGTGGATGTCCAAAGCAGGATTTCTGGCTTTGGCTTTCTCAGGAGAGACTCCTCTTTTTCTTTAGCGATGTTAACACCTGGAAAGTCATCTGTGATCTTTTCCAGAGACCCCGGAGACTGACCCGACTCTGGTATGTAGCAGGACTTACAGTAATTTTTTTTTTTAAGAGAAAAGGTCCTGCCTGATTCAGCCTCCCAGATTATGATAGTTATTCTTTAGGACAGTTTTAAAAGTCTGTTCTAACGGCTGGGGACGCTGTTCTGTTGTCCTGTTCTGAAACTTGTTACTAATGAAATGAGAATGATTCTCTCCAGCCTGGGAAAGAGCAGGCATTCATTGTCTGCTCTCAGAATATAGCTAGTTATGAAAAGCTACGGACTGCTGGTACAAGTTGGTTAGGGAGCAGCACCAATCTCTGCTTGCCCTAGCACAATGAGAACACACTTATCTATGCTGAAATGATCACACACCCCGGGGTTATGGAATGGAGATTTCCTGAATCATGGATATAGCTGAAACTTGAACTTCAGGTCCCCTGTACCCGACTTTATACCATGGAACCAATTTAATCAGCTAGAAGGTGTGGTAGAGCTTTCTTTGACGTGAGAAACTAATGAATATTTTGCCTGTCCTTATAAGTTCTGCCTTAGAAATTGGGGTTATGTTGGTAGTTAAGAGGGTATGAATAGAGATCGGTTCATGAACAGAGGCTTGGGGATGGACAAGATGTGGAAAAGAGAATCTGTTTCTTGGCACCAGATTTTATGCATGCAATAGTTTACATGATATATGTTTGGCATGGGCTATAATAAATAATAGGAGACAAATGTAAGGAACAACGGGCTCATTAAATCAGACTGGAATAAGGAGTTTGGTTTTTGAACTGATGAAATCGGTGGTTTTGCAAACTGGTATGGAAGGCCTTTTGTTTTGTATTTGGGTTTGGGCCAAGACTGCTAGGTACTGAAAGTTGTTTGGCCATCAAATGTCCTTTGATGCTCCAGGGACTCTGTAGGCTTGATAATGCGGGCACTTGTTCCAACCGTGCAGCTTAGGGCCTATGCGTGCCTGCCCATCCTGACCAGCTCTCCTTGCCTTCCCAGAATTTCACCACAGGGGCTCCATCCAATGTGCTGGGGTACCTTCCTCAGGTTCTGACATTGTGGTCATGCCAACAGAGCATGCATGTAGCCTGTCCACTGGATGTGTCGCCTTCTCACTCTGTGACTCGCCCCCTTTTTGTTTTCAGGTCATACATTTCTCTAATCACATCTTTCATGCCACTTCTGCCTAAGACCTCATTTGTAGAGGCTTCTAGCCTATTGATATTCACCATGTGTTTCTCGATGGTCCTTTGGGTGATTCTCTGTCTCAATTCTCTGGACACTGCCCAACAGCCATATAAGATCACAGGAAGAATATTGCTGTGAACAACACGGGCCTTTGTTTCTACGGCCATCAAATAGACATCACATATGTCAAGCCATAACCAGTGCTTTTGTGGGATGACCTCATGAACTCTCAGCCCATTGCCTCCTGGTCCCTCCTGGCTGTCTGAATCTCTATGATCCTTTTCTGAGTTAAACATCCCCTATCTCTATTTCTGATCTGTACCTCCGGTTTTGGCCGTCGGTCTCACCTTCTCACCTTTTTGTTTGTTTGTGTGTGGGTATAGAGTAAAGATGGTGGGAGAGACTCATTGGTTAACATAGGGAAGAGGCAAATAACAGCAGCATTAATAATTGCATTTATCTAGCTCTGTAAGGCTTGTGAAGCACTTTCCATGTATTCTCACTTGTTCCTCGTCACAACTCTGTAGGGTAGGTGCTATTAGTATCCTCATTTTACAGTTGAAACACTTGAGGCTGAAGGGGTTAAATGACTTGCCCAGGATCACACAGCTAATAACTATCTGAGGCAGGATTTGAACTCAGGTCTTCCTGACTCCTAGTGTTCTACCCATTTCACCACTGAATTGCCTCAGCTACAACCACAACACCTCTAAAGCCCCATGTCGCTGTAATCAGAGACTTAGAACTGCCTCCTCCTTTTCCTTAGAGTGGTCTATGCGCTCCTTGTGGTTTCAGTCTCCACTGGAGCTGGGTCACTAACAGTTACTTGACCTATCCCATGCCAGCTTGTTCACTTTCTCCTTACATGACTAGCTTCTGTCTCGATCTTAGTTTTTTTCCTTATTATCTTGCCTCTTAGACTCTGCCTTCCCATCTCTCATTTCTATTCAAAACCAGCTCTTAGCACCAGGACACTAGAGATGCCCTCTTTCCCTTGACCTCCTGCTGCTCTTGCACTGCTGACCCTCAATGCTGGGTAGCCCCCACCATCCAAATCCCTCTTCTTTAGCTTCTGGACCACTCAGCTCCTCTGGAGAATGGCATGTAATTGGGTTGATTTCACCCACCATAAATTTCTGATGCGTAGACTCAGCTGGGCTGACAGTGTTGCACAGAGGGCTTTTGATTGGGATCTCTGATTCTTTAACTCATTCTCCCAGCGATTGTTTTATACTTATTTCTCTCTCCTCAGGCCCCCATTCTCACCCTATTTCCCATGGGTTCCCAGGACCCAACCTCCCATCTCACTGAGAAGATCAAAACCACCATCTTAAACATCTTCAGCTCCCTTCTTTCAAATCTTCAGTCTTTTCCAACATTTTTTGCCAGTCTTTACATAGTTCTTTAAGGTTTGTAGAGTGCTTTACAAATATAACCTCATTTGATCCTTACAAAAATCCTGTAGGGTAGGTGCTATTGTTACCCTTATTTTACAGATGAGAAAACAGGGGTGGCTGGTAGCTCGGTAGGTAGAACACTGGGTCTGGCCTCAGGAAGTCCTAAGTTCAAATCTGACCAGATACTTACTAGCTGTGTTATCCTGGTCAAGTCACTTTGCCTCTGCATACCTCAATTTCCTCAACTGTAAATTAGAAATAATAATATTACCTACCTCCCATGGTTGTTGTGAAAAAAACCAAGTGAGATAATATCTGTAAAAAGCACTTAACACAGTGGCAGGCATTATGCAGCTGCCTATTTCCTTCACCAAGAGAGGCTAAGTGACTTTCTCAAGGTCACAAAGCTACTTTGCATCTGAGTCAGTATTTGAACTAAGATCTTCCTGACTTCATGTTGTCCAGAGCTCTATCCATTGTGCCACCCAGCCATCTCAAACTTCTGATTGTCTTCACCCATTGTCTCCTCTTTCTTGTCAAGGTTAATCCCTCTACTTGTGCTCTTGTCAATCAATCTATCAACAATTTATCAATCACCTCTATATGCCAGGTGCTGTGTTCACACAGGGGAATGCTAATATGAAATCAACAATCCCAGCCTTCAAGGAACTTACATTCTCCTGGGGCGGGGGGGTTACAACCAGAGGAGTAGTAGCTAAGTAAAAGAGTTTGGGTCTAGGCAGTGATGGGGATCATGTAGGGATGGTGAATGGAGATATAATAGAAAATATAAAACAGTCTCTGCCCTCAAGGAGCTTACATTTCACATCTTCAGTCCTCACTGGCTCCTTGCCATCTGTTTGCAAACATGCTAAAGTTTCTGTGCTTCGAAAAAGTGCTTCTTAAAAAAAAAAGAAAAGAAAAAAGAAAGAAAAGGTGCTTCTTTTGACCCTCCTACCCATTTCTGTCTCATCTCTGACCTCTCTTTCACAACCAGATTTCTTGGAAAAGTAGTCTACCATCTTTCCTTTGCAGTCTGGCTCTTGTGCCTCTATGGAAAGCATTCTCTTCCAAGTTACCAATAAAACTTTTGGTGACCTTTAACATCATCAGTGGCTTCCTTCTAAACTCCTTCAACCAGGTGGTACCACTGTATCCTGGGCCATCATCAGTCATCTTGACTTTTATCTGGAGGACAGAGTGAGGCTGACGACTTTGCTCAGCTCTACCTCACTTGAATCCAATTCATGCACAAGTCGAGATATCACCCTGGTCATGTCATTGGTCCTCTTCGAGAATGAAGGATGGACAACAGTGAATAGAGTACTGGCCTTGGAGTCAGAAAAGCTGAGTTCAAATGTGACTTTAAGCATTTCTTAGCCAAGTGACCCTTGGTAAGTCACTTAACTTCAGTTTCCTCAAATGGAAAATGGGGATAATAATAGCACCTCCCTCCTAAGGTGGTTGTGGGGATCAAATGAGATCATATTTGTAAATGTGCTTTGCAAACCTTAATGTGCTATATAAATACTCAATATTATTATTATTTACCTGTGAAGTTTTTTTTTTTTTTTTTTGGTGCTTGACATTTAATCTTATTGAATTTCATCTGATTAGATTTTGGGTCCTACCTCAAACATCCAACATGCTAGCTACCCCAGCTTTGTGTCCTCTGGAAATTTAATGAGGCTCTTTCCTTTTTTTTTTTTTTGATAGGATTACTAAATTAGCACATGGAGAGAATGGGATAGATACACATTTACCTACATTTATAGGAAAGCTTTTTAATAAAGTGTCCTATCCCCTTCTTTTGGAGAAGA